ACTGAAGACTGGAGTAATGATGCTGAAAATTCAGCTTTGCATCACAGGAATAAATTTAATTTTAAAATGTACTTTTAAAAAATCAGTTGTAATAATATTCCACAATATTACTGTTTTTACTGTATTTTTGAACAAATAAATGCACCCTTGATGAGCATGAGAGACTTTTCAAAAACATAGAAATCTCACTGTCTCCAAATGTTTGAACAGTCAGTCATTTGTTTTTTATTTATTTATTTATTTATATATTTATCAATGTTTATGCTCTCTTAATATCAATAATAATAAAAAACAAAACACATTTTATATAATTCAATTTGCAGGCTTTATATTAAAAAAATAATAATAAAAAATAACAGTGACTCAACACAAATAATATTGTTATAATACACTCAGGTCTCACCTCCAGGACCTGAAGGAGGTCACTCATAACATCCATTACGAGACGTACCGTGCCAAGAGGCTCAACGATAATGGAGGTCTACATCCCATCTCCTCCTCTGGCCAAGACACACAAGAAAGCAACCTGTGAGGAAACAAATGAGCGGCATAGTAAGGATGCGAGAGAAAACCAAGATTCATCTTGTAATAATTCAGCTGTGCGTGCTCAGAAGATTTCATCGCTGTGGAGGTTTTGTCTTTATTCTCCTTTTAGTCATCATCTCTTGTTGCACAACATTTGAAAATAAGAAAAAGCCTTCCCCAGTTGCTCACTCTGCTGACTTTAGTGAGCGAGTTTGCTCGTGATAATCATGTTCAGGTCTAACATGATGGTAAATAGCCTTGTGCTATAGCATTTGTAATTGGAAATTGCCCAGTGTTGGCATATCACTTGCTCTGTCCTCTACTACTGGAACCTATACTGCCACTGCAGTCTGCAGCTCAATGGGCCTTATTTATTAAAACATTTAGCACACTTTTAGTACCTATGCCAATTAAACATACTCAAGTTATGTGTAAGCCTACTAAATTTTAACACGCAAGTGTTTTAATAAGTATCTCATTTTCTTTGGCCCTGTAAGAGTACAGCAGTGTTTCTTTAAGTACATTAGATTCTCTAGTACTAACTTTTTACCATTGCTGTGTATCTCTGCCAAAACAAGTCTCAGAGGACTTTGAAGTGACCACTGAAGCATATTCCTACAGATCATTCCAAGCAGGTACAGCAGTTTAAATGCATGCCAGGATTTACAGTGGCTAATGTGTTTAAATAAACTTCAGGAGGAAACTGAAAGAGCACTGATTAAAAATGATCAGTGCCTTTAACAAATCAAGAGTTGTGGTTTTGAGGTTTTTCTTGAAGCACATTTTGTATGGACACCCCATGTTTGTGTGAATGAGTATGAAAATTACAAAGCTTTCTCAAAGTTTTGCAGATGGTAATAGTGATTTCTGTCTTCAAATGTGATGGAATTTTTATTTTCATCCCATGTGTGCCAATATTTCCAATTGTGTGTATATGTGTAATTACTTCTACATTCCATCTCACAATATCACTTCATGGAACATTATATATGTAGGAAGTCTACACATACTGATCCTAAATCAGTTCATCTTTTTCATATCACATTTAATTAATGCTGGTGTGGAATAATAAAACACCTTTGAACAATAATTATGAAATATTATTTATATTGTATTTATGTTTTATTTATTATGATGCTTATGTTTTAATTTAATAAACATGTTTGCCATAATTGCCTTGACTTTTTTCGGGTCCAAACACAACTCCGTTTACCAGATGTCTTTTCAGTTCAGTTCATGTTTGTGATTTGTTTCAGTTGTATTGAATAGAACAGAAACAGAGACTGTCATCTCGGCATTTCCCACATTTTGCCTGTAGAGGGAGCTGTATGACTAAAGACTAAATCGAGTCAGTATTCACAGAGTCCAAGTGAGTGGCGCGATTCTGAATCGCCACACAGTGTTGCCAAGTCCGCGTTTTTCCCGCGGAATTGGGCTACTTTAACACTGTTGCCGCGGGATGTTTTTCATGTCCGCGGGTTGAAGCGACCCCAATAACGTGATATTTAGCCCCTGGAATGCTACTTTACCAGGGGAACCCCACCAAAAAAATGTGTATTTTAACCCCACCCTATCCCCCTCCCCCCTCCCCGAGCGCGATTTTTACCGGAGGATCGCCCCTGAAAAGCAATTGGGCTAGTTTTGAGTAGCAACTGGGCGGGTTTTGCTGTGAAAACCTGGCAACCCTGTCGCCACAGCACATCAGTCCACTCTATTCGGTTCACACACCGTTCTACTACTAGTCCATCCGAATTCTCATATGTCATATGTCTCGTGCCTGCCATCGTGTTTCAAAGGCTGTAACTTGGCTTTGACTTGATAAAAACCCTTTTATAAGTGCAGTCACGGCGTTTTTAGATGAATCCTTTAAACTCCCCCTCACTTATCATGTATTAGAGCTATTTGTCTCTTGAGTGTGTTCTATGTAAAACCCAACTGGCGCGGTGACATTTTAACAGACTCTGGCACTCTAAGGTAATTGATTTGAAGTCGGCAACGTTATTTATCGTGGCTTTAGACCAGTGTTACTCATTGCGCGGCTCGCGAGCCTCATGCGCGATACTGCAATACCGTCGTCTTTGTCTCCGCGTGTCGTTTCAGGGTCTTTGTGTCGCTGACTTGGAAAAGGAGGCGGAGCCAAATGTTCTCCCTGCTCTGTTATCTGAGAGAAGTACTTCTCTTTAGTGAGTGTTGGGTAGGTAGTGTAGTGTACTAATGTAGTGAATTTTCAGACCACATTTTACTCTTTAACTTAAATTAATCTAAGTTACCGATCCAGTGGAATCCAACTGAAACCGTTTGAGCTTTAGGTGGAGGGGGAGAACTATGTTTTTTCAGGTAATTAGGTCTAAATATAGCATCTTTAGTAATTTAGTTTTCATGTTTAATTAAGATAAAGTTGTGTACTCAAATATAGACCTTCTCCAGTGAAGCTTATTCTATATTGGTTGCATAAAACGTCTCTGTCATCTTTGTGAGCTCCCCAACAGCTCGCAGGCGGTACTGCAGTTAGTAGACATTTCATACAGAGAAATCCACATGCTGCAAGTCAACAACAAAATGGCTGACCTTCACCAGAACAAAGCCTACTTTCTGATCTGAAAAACAATTTATATAAGCCTGCATATGAGCAGACAAAAGTCCTCCCACGGGTCAAGCTCCCATCCCCCTCACATCTTCCTCCCTCTCCATCACGGTCTCCTTCCCCTTTAATATTTAGTAGCTGTTCGACCAAATAATGGGCATAAGTAAAAACATAAGAGCAATTTAAACTCTAATGATGTTCTGTTCCATTGACGGTTCCCAAACATTGACTAGTACTTCCTGCACTTCTATTCAGCAGCGCCGCAATGCCACCGCTGCAGAATAAACAGTGCGAAACATACAGCATACCAGTACTCCGATTCCCGAACGAATGACTCTTTTGAGTCGGCTCTTTTTTTAGAACCGAACCGAAATATACAGCACAACCAAGGTAGTCCGATTCGCGAACGAATGACTCTCATGAACCGGTTCTGAACCAAAAACAGGTATGGATCAATCGGAGCGATAACTCACTGAAATTACTCACACAAATTATGTTCATGAAATGTTCGAAATGAACCAATACTACGTTTTATTGCCCAATTAAGACTAAATCAGTATACTCTTTGTTCATATGGCAACGCTTATGAGCTTTGTTGTATCGTGGCAGCATTTTTATATGTAGAAAGCTAGTGCTATGAAGCAGATCAGAAAGGATGTAAAACCGAGCACATGCATGCCAGGGTTTGTGAACGATGAGAACAGAAACTCGAGCAATGTTGAACGGCTCTGTAACGGTGGTAGGCACATGATGTCAATACAAATATAATAATTTCGTATTCGCCTCTATTTGCTGATATACTCTCATTTTTGATACATAGGCTATATCAAACCCAAATAAATATTCAACTGAGGAATGAGAACACGGTTGCACCAGTGGAAAAATGAGTCTGACTGTAATCACTGCTGATGGACTGACTCTACGTCAAATTTACTAACGGACATTTTGATTCAACATTGTGAAAACGCGTTACCGAAAACGTTCCTCTACTGGCAGGAGGTGTTTAATTTTCGAATCTCCCGTTGTCCCGCGAAACGCATGTCTCCTCCCCCTGTTGTTGTACCGTTGGAGAGGAGAAGAGAGCGCGAATCACCAAGCAAACTACACTGCAGAGGTGCTGTCAGCCCGCTCTCACTGTAGCCTACAGGCAGTCACCTTGTGCAGCTGTCTGTATGACTGTATGTGATTCCGTTGCGTGACGATAAAGACGTTACTAACAGAATCCGCGTTTTTAAACGTGTATAATACGAAACAGAGACCGTCGTAGTAACATATTTTTGGAGATACCGGTTGTAAGGCGCTCCGACTGATCAAAAGATTGGGTGAGTTTTCACACTTGTTTCTGGAAAATCAATTGTTTGTTCTACTTTTATGATAATATTTGTAATTTTAATATACATTTTAGTGTGATGAATGTATTATTTATATACATTTTATATTGAATTTGGGCTATGTTTATGTTTAAAATTTAGCGTGATTTACCACATAAGGACATCAGGTGTAAACTCATAATGTTACAAACTTCATAAATAAATTAGTCTCTCTAGGCCATTTATGTTGAATTTATACAAGGTGAAATTTAACTTGAGTACATTTTTTGTTTGGGTTTGGTTTTCCAAAGTGATAACTACAGGGCAATTTCTTTCAAACATGGAAAAATCACTTATTTACAAATCCAAAAATTAAAAGGGCTGAACATGTAGACTTATATAATATTTACTTTTTTTTTTTTAAAGTTTGCCAGCTAATATCGGTGTGAATGTATATTGTTCGCAAAAGTGTTGTCACTGATGTCATTGGAGAAATGTAATAATTTGCCAGCCTTTATTAATTTATTCCATTAGTGAAGGTGTCCTATAACAGGGAAATTACTGAGAAAATTAAGTATTATTTGCATGGTCATGTGATTTCAAGATGTCAGCCCCCATTCCATGTAAAGTAAAACAGCTGCAATTATTCTATGGATATTGTTTTTTCCAGAGTCATCATATCATCTATGTACATGCTTTTAAACATAAAAATAGCTTAAAATTGCTACAAAAATGGTGCAAAATTGTATAATTTTTGTACCACTAGTACTGTCACAAAAAAAAAGGATTAAAAAATTGTTTTCAAACAGGTTTCCCACAACACTCTCTCACGACTGCCATTGGTCAGAAAACAGATAGCGCCACCCCACACTTATGCCATTGGTTGAGCCAGTAATTTTAGCCAATAATTTTTGTAGTTTTAAAAAACGAATCCATTTTTAAATGATAAATAAGTAACATTTTTCTGTGTTCTTTCAAAAAATCCTGATATGTCAACTTTATTTGGTGGTTCGGAGCAGGATTACTTTTTCTAAACAGTTTGGAAATGATTATTTTTTGTTTTTGCAATTCCATTCGGTTCTGTTTGTGCTGTAGAAATGACACACTTCATCTTTAAAGATTCAATCTCACAATCATGCCACCTACAAGGACTCTGAATTAAGGATCCACTGAAATGTTATTGTGAGTAATAGGTCTTGCAGTTTTCCAAGTACTGCACTTCATTATTATTTTATTTTGCTTGCGGTCATTAAGTCTTAAAGAGTCATCATATCATCTATGTACATACTTTTAAACATAAAAATAGCTTAAAATTGCTACAAAAATGGTGCAAAATTGTATAATTTTTGTACCACTAGTACTGTCACAAAAAAAAGGATTAAAAAATTGTTTTCAAACAGGTTTCCCACAACACTCTCTCACGACTGCCATTGGTCAGAAAACAGATAGCCCCACCCCACACTTATGCCATTGGTTGAGCCAGTAATTTTAGCCAATAATTTTTGTAGTTTTAAAAAACGAATCCATTTTTAAATGATAAATAAGTAACATTTTTCTGTGTTCTTTCAAAAAATCCTGATATGTCAACTTTATTTGGTGGTTCGGAGCAGGATTACTTTTTCTAAACAGTTTGGAAATGATTATTTTTTGTTTTTGCAATTCCATTCGGTTCTGTTTGTGCTGTAGAAATGACACACTTCATCTTTAAAGATTCAATCTCACAATCATGCCACCTACAAGGACTCTGAATTAAGGATCCACTGAAATGTTATTGTGAGTAATAGGTCTTGCAGTTTTCCAAGTACTGCACTTCATTATTATTTTATTTTGCTTGCGGTCATTAAGTCTTAATATAATATTAATAGCAAGTTGTGTGTATCACTATAGAAAAGCTCAAACAGAATAGCATGACGCTAGCAATGTCAAGATCATTGGTCTGATGACCAGGGAATGGATGAACTGATAAAAAATGGATGTCCTGAATGCAGATCACTTTGAGTTAAAGCATTTACCAAATTAGATTGGGTAAATTAGGCCAGAGGCCTTTAAAAGGTAGGGAACTGTGTGTTAAAGGGGTCATATGATGCGATTTCAATTTTTCCTTTGTCTTTGGAGTGTTACAAGCTCTTGGTGCATAAAGAAGATCTGTAAAGTTGCAAAGACTAAAGTCTCAAATCCAAAGAGATATTCTTTATAAAAGTTAAGAGTCAACCACGCCTACCTAAAACGGCTCGTTCTAACACACCCCCACATATCTACATCACTAT